CCCCAAAACCCCAAAACCCCAAAACCCCGCAATATAAATAGTAAATAGAATAAACTCTAAATTCTCTTAAGAATAAAATGGTGAAATGCATGGCCGGAGGAATCAATTCTGCTGGTAAAATGCTTCTCCGATGCTTTTTGGAGCTGGGAAAAGAATAGAGCTGACAGACTGAGATACATCATTAGCCTTTGAGCTATTTCATTGCCCAAGTATTTCAGTAGGCTTCAGTTTCGAGAATAGATGATGAACTTCTGATTCATCTTCCTCTCCAATTACATCTTCACCATCGGACTTACTTAATTGTGATAAATCGAAATACTCATAATTCTGATGTGAATCTCAGCTGTAATTAACCTCTCTGAGATCTTCCAACAATGTTTGTGAATTATTTTGCTCGATTTGCATATTCTATAACCTATTTGACCCATTACTTACCTTTCCATCAAGAAGAACAGCTATGCGTTGTTCTACATCTTGTAGGAGACTTTCATCTGCCTCACTTTGATAACTCTCTTGGCTATGGCACTGATAGTAATCATTGGAGGTATCCATAGCATCTCGGTTAAATCCTAGCCTCTCAAGTTCATCCTGGAAGCTTTCTTTCATATCAAAATGTTTTCCTGTGAGGGGCTCTCTGTCATTAAAGAAGCTGTCGGTTGTTAATTTCTCTAACTATTAAAAAATTAACCAGTAAAATTAACAAAACTTTGATTGAGGTTTTATAGTCGTTAAAAATTAAGCTCACATTTATGGGAAAAAAGACAACCAGACTTCCAGTCTGGAGCAATGAGGGCTAACTAAGCTAGAGAGGTATATAGTAACCTTACCTTTTCATTCTCGTCCATCTGGCTTTCGTAAGAATTAAACGGATTCTTGTAGTCGCTATTATTGAGCAAATCTGAACTATCCTCATCAGTAATGGCATCTCCTTGAGGAGCTCCATCATGGAAGCCACTATGGTCTCATGATTTGCCATCATACCTCATCTGGGAGGATCCTGAGGTGGAGTCAGATCAGGTTCTACAAACGGATAGTTATCTAGCCGTTAGGAAAGGGACATTTAAAGGGTGAAAAACGCCCTTCCAAAAGATACCACCAATGTGCTATTGGAGGAAGCAAAAGCAAAAGATGGTCGAATAAGCTAAGAATTCAGCAACTTACGATAACTTCTGAGATAATTCCTCGATTAGCATCTCTTCAGCTTGGATTTGGCTCTTGAGGAAATGGTTGAACTCTTCAAGGCTTTTATTTTTAGCAATAAGTTGCTCATTTTCAAGTAATGATTTATTTCTGAGTCTCAAACATGATTTTCTCAGATTCAAGCTTCGTTAATTGATATTCTATACCCAAATATAAGAATAGGAAGGCTAAGATGATATGATATGCTTTTGAAAAGAAAGATACAATTTCTCTTGAAAAGAAAATGCGTACTTAGTAAACTTTCTTGATTAGTATTCTTCTTTCTTGGACTTTGCAGAGTCTTCTGAATCTCAACTTCCTTTACCACATTGGTCTTCTCATAGCTGTCACTCTCTAAGCTATCAGGAGGGCTATCAAAATATCTAACGAATGTGTGTCTTGACTTTGGCTTGGTTTGCACAATTTCTTGTTTTGAAATTTTACTAAACCTCAGAGTAATAGCTTACAGTTGGGACTCTGTAAATTCTTGTTGGCCGCAAAACTTTTCATGTGATTTTAAAACTTTCATGAGATGACTATTTCTGTTGCTCAAGATCCGAATTCATCTGCTGATACTTCAACAGCTGGTTTTTAAGTGAAGTATTCTCCAAGCAGTATCTCGAATTTTCAATCTCTAGCTCTCTCGTCTCCTCATAATGGTCAGTTCTACAAAAGTTAGCAAATTGCGCATTAATTTCTTTAAAATCCCCAAATCCTCAAAATTATAATAAACCCTACAGATCCAAAAGGCGGTCATATTTCTCCTGAAGGATTTGGATTTTCTCCTTTAAAATCTGGTTTAAGCTCTCTTCTCGTTCTTTTTCTCTAAAAGTGGTCATAATCATTCAATTTGTTATACATATTTTGGGGTTTTGGGGTTTTGGGGTTTTGGGGTTTTGGGG